GGCATGTGGTAGAAATTCAATAAGGAATGAATGTTATCCGATCAGGGTGGATTTTTTATAGGGCAAGAAATGGGGGAACGCATGTGCATTTCAATGTGCCCGGCGGAACTCACGTGCATCAGGTTACCATGGCCGTTGCCGTGATGCGTTTGGGCGATCGGTTTTATTGTCGTCTGGTTTTTTTTAACATCAAATTTCATTTTTACGGACAAGGTAATGTAAAATTTTAGAAACATTGCCAAAAATTACCCCGATATTTAAATGACAACTTTTCATGCAATGTTACTTGGGGTGACGTTTTTTTGCGGTTCAGTATATATATATATATATATATATATATATATATATATATATATATATATATATATATTACTTGCGTTACCGAATTGGCATAAGTCTATGTTATTTTGTTGTGTCCTATTTGTGGAACTTATAAGTCTCTGCGCTTAGGTTGCATTAGATACCTACTCAATCAACGAAAGCCATCCATTAATTTCGTTTCCTGAAAGAACAATGATTGTCAGTGACATGCTATTTGAGTTCCTGCCATGATGTTATGACTGCGAAGCTGCGTCTGTTTTGAATGCATGTAACATATATGCACACGGACACAGATGAGCAAAACAAAGCATTCATCACTTTGACTGAAGAGTCAGTAGGGTCAGTGTGACCTAACTGTAATCATTCCTACATATGAGTGCCCAGATGGAGAAATAATTGACAAACTTAAACCCTGCAGGGGAGATGTTGTGTATCTAAATATACAAAGTGCGACTATATGGTCTACAAATTACCTTCTCGATGTTTATTTGGAAATAAAAAAAGTTTCAGGAAATATATGGAGGCCACTAAAGATATTGCAAAGAACGTTTTGTTTGTGCAAACGCAGAGAAATTATATATTTACGTATTATGTTTGGGCTAATGAATTATACATTATCGTGCAAATGTACTTCTGGGACTTCTTTTTCTGGATGAAAGTAAAATTCGGGTAATGGTCGATCACGAAATGGTAAATGATTCGATCAGCAACCCTATTCTAACTATAATCTCTAACAATGAATATGCTTTATTAATAGGAAGTGTAACAAAAGAATACCTGTACATATGCTTCTACTCTCTGTATATTCCTGGCCAAGTAGGTCCCAAGCACCTCCAGCTTGTCGTAACAGACTGTCAAAATAGGGATCGAATGATGCCATCGTACACCCGTGACAACTGGAAAATTGCTGGAATAATACTTCGGCGTCAAATACCATTCACTCACTCGCGCATAAAGTACTCTATGTACATACTATGTGCAAAACAGGTGACCTCTTGTCTGAATTTTGAGACTAATTACGAAATTCTATTTCTCTCTCTCTCTCTCTCTCTCTCTCTCTCTCTCTCTCTCTCTCTCTTTATATATATATAACTGAAGTTGAAACAATATACTGATAACTTGTTCGGAGACGTACACATTATATATATATATATATATATATAATGTGTACGTCTCCGAACAAGTTATCAGTATATTGTTTCAACTTCAGTGTTCTCATTTCTCAAGCAAATTGTTAACATAACACGTTGCTTCAAATCTGTGCACACTATTGTCCCCATCTAGCTTACGTGATCCAACGTGATCAGTTGAAACTCTATACAGGAAGCGCTCTGTATGTTATGCTCAATTGATCTTTAATTTTACATCACTGGATAATTCTAATGTACTTGTCGCTGTCCCTTGAGATTATATCACAGCAAGCCACACTACAGAACAACGCAAATCTCATTTTGTAGCTTGACATTTGCATTTATACACCCCACTGTGTCATCTGATACTTGTAATGGTCATGTTTAACTGTCGATACAGATGGCCATGCCTTCGCATGGAATGATCTCCCAATGACTACATACACTTTATCTTTATATTGATTTTAGATTGTTTTAATTATATACATGCTTAAAAGAGATAAACAAAAACTTCCCATGTTTTTGTTTTTTCCATGCCATGTTCACATCTTCACCAACATAATGTAAAAATCAAATTTGTTTTTGTGACACGTTATGAGTTCAAATAGAATCGATGGGAAATGTCAAAATGTAAATGATACAATCTTTATCACCCTGGCGTTACGATATGCTTAACCCCATGTGGGTTTCTGATATCGCAAAACATCCCTAGGTGTTTAAAATGAATATTATATGAAAATATTAACTTGTTGCGAAACAGGTCGTGTTGATTTTTCATGCGATCATGAATGTTCGCTGAATGTCTGGTCCATGTAGGAATATTGTCTTTCAAATATCTCGATTTAAAGAAATGACGGTGCGTTAATGCTGCTTAGTATATTCTATAAGCACAAATATCGCTCGTAACTCAATAATAGATGGATAATGTATCGTTAACTCGTCATTCTGACATTTATTGGAAATCATGAATATGCATAACGCTTTGTTCCTGTATGTACAAGAACATATCTGTTCTAGCGTGAACCTATAAGCAGGTTAGTACATTCAATTATCAACCGCATTGCAAACCCAAGACAAGTTATATTTAATAGAATGTAAGTACACATTGTTTTAATTCCTACCTTCTGTTTTTTGTGTGAACTGAGAAGTTGAGTTTTAAAGCCGATTTATTTTGTGTTCAACTGGTTACCATTTTGAAGGTTACCGTACAATCTCAAAATATACAAAGAGTCTATATATACCAAAGTTAGTCGGATTACCGTCATAAATCAAACCGTTCTTAACACATTTTCGCATCTCCCTTGACTACGTTTAGAGAGCCGAAACCATATGAAGGAGACAGTGCATCTAGGCAAGCACTTAACTGTCAATTCCGAGCGTCACCTTGTCGATAGCTACTGATAGCATTTCCATATGTAACTTGATTTAAGAGACGGAGTTTTATATCATTTTACGTAGATTTGGCTCTCTATGTGGTGTAATCGATACGAAAGCGGTTGTAAACTAATTTAACCCTCGTCAGGTCTCTAACGTAGGAAAAATTCGGACGCACTTTCCTTCTTTTTCGCGGTACTGGAAGAATATGCACTCACGTTTCTCCGTATTGTAAGGAGTCGTAACCCTAATTTACATGCTGTCTGTTTGATATCTTGTGGAGGTAAGATTTCCTGCTGAGTCTGTGCTGGCGGATGCTGGTGCCTTGGATACAGGTTACTATATGTGTTAGCACTGAGATGGTGCGAGTTCTCGTTGCTGTCTATTGGTTTACAGGCATGCGAAGGGTTCGTCATAGCATACAGAATATTTATCAACTTCGAAACCGTGCTCTTCGGCAGAGTTGTTAACTCAAAGGGCATCCTGGTTTCTCTTTTACTGGATAATGATGCTTTGCACAAGGACGTACAATTGTCGAGCAGGTAATCTAGGATACCACTACTAATTGAAGTACGCATTTCGCAAGCAAGTGGCCCGGATACTCAATTCACAAGACATGGATACTGTTTTATAGGGAATACTTGTTCATGTATGTCTGTCGACCATTCATGACATTTCATGTGGAGTTTTAACGTTTTATTAACTTCACATGGGATAAACAATCATTTTTGACGCATGCCTTCAACATTTATCGTTTTTCTTCTGAAACAGTGTTTAAGCATAACAATTCGTATTGATTTTACGATTTGACGTCAACTATGTTAACGCCTTTGATGTCACAGTGTATGATTCACTAACAACAAATTTGCATTTATATCGAACAAGTGTTACTTACACAATGTCATGCATATAAATTGTAAAGGCGTGTTTTGTTCAAACATGTAACGATTCAAAACTGTGTACATATTTACATGTAAACAATACGTCAAAGTATTACCTCTCACAACTACAAATGTTCTCATGAAAGAAAAGATACGGCCTCTTTGGGAGGAATTGTAAACGATAAATATGTCTGTTATCTAAAGCGTCTTGTATTATTACATGGACAAATGAATTTATCCCGTAAACTCAATAATAGAGGAAGATTATCCACGAGAAACGCATGAACGCTACAAGTACGTTGGCACCTCTATAACAATTAATTAAAGGGTGAATAAAAGTGTTATAGATGGTGTTTAAGCCAACCCAATATCCCCTTGTCTAGACGTAGATCCTGTATAAGGGACAACTGTCTACAAGACAGTTTAGCTTAAATTGGGCCTAAATTAGGGCTGTATTGCCTGTATACTAAATGTCATAATGATAGAATTGGCGTCTATCAGGATGGCTCGGGGATGAACGATTTGGAAGGCCTCACCTAATTAGATCTATTGCAAAGTTAGGCCAATGTTCAAAGTAATGATCTGAAAATCCAATTTTCACGATGTGACATTTAACGACAGATAAATAATTGTATTAGTTGGAGTATTACTTCTAACGTTATATACGACTTACAAAAAGCATGAAATTTCAAAAGTTTTGAGTAACATTTTGGTAATTTTGTGAGTTTGGCTACTCGTAGGTGTCTCATATAACTCGTTAATATAGGATATATAGTTTACACCTGCGTCACCTTCCAGTACTGACGTCGTAATAAAATCAGAATTTTCTCAGTTAAATGAATGCGTTATAAATCACCACGTTGAATTATGTATATGTTTATTGTTATGTGAATGAATGCATTTGCGTAGTCTAGATCTATATATCGAGTTACGTGAGTATTTCACAAACATGTGTATTTTATCTTTGTAACAGAAACATAAATCCATTATGCCAAGGCCGATTGACATGGAATATATATCCCGACAGCATGTGGTAAGATACACCTCTATATCTATATAGTTACAGGTACACATGTTCTATCGAATGTTAGATAACACATGCGTGTTATGGACACAATATAATGATAAACAATCATCTACTCCTTCGGTCACCTCGGCTGTCCTAATTGGATCTTTGTCACCTTGATCCGTCTTTCCTCAAATATTTGTGGAGATTCTGTGTTTCGTATCAGCGTTTGGCATTGGCGTATAATGAACATCAGATGATAGCGTGCCGGCTACAGCAACTCCAGCCGTAGCGTTCGCTCTCCTCCGCTCATCGAGCGTGGTGTTCCTCCCCATCTCTCCACTCTTGTTAAACCTTCGATAAGTTAAGGTAGCGAGCTTGTTCTGCTAGACCCCCGCCAGTTGTAGCGTGACTGACGATAGACTCTGGGTCTGTGAGCGCGTCAATGTCTCATCTGATGGCTCTCTATTGATAACCACAGTCCAACCAATTACATACAGCATCCTCTGACCCTTGGACTACCAGCATCTCGTCGCATCGCCTGCATGGGATCTGTTTGGCAATAACCTGCCCGGCAGTTCCATCTACATCTCGCCGTGTCGTACCTTAACTCAAAACTCATCTGTTTGTGTTCTTTACGTATGTGATAATTGTTGAACACTGGATTGCATCCAACTTGGCCGATCAATGGACTCGTCCGTTTACCCATGTGCCCACAGTCGTATTGAAGCATGCTCGCTTTGACGATCCTAAGCTTATGGGACTTCTGTACTGTACTACCAGTTTCACCTCAGAAATCAATTAAATATCATTTCATTGTTTCTCTAGGTTCAGCAATGACAAGAGGCTAGTGTCCATCGACGTCCATCAACAGATCTGGAGTGGACTAGGACCAGTGTTTATTATGGAGAACGTCTGAGTCTACGATCCGTTCTCTTCTACTGATATGGGAGAACTAGAAAGAAATACTACGGATAAAAAGTGGGAAAATTTACTTGTGCGGACTGCTACTACATTGTGTGTGTTTCTCCTTCTATGTGGCGTCAGCGACTTCGTGTTAGCCATCGAGGTCCAGCGTTCTGTGGGTGATTAACATGACCCATCGGCACAGGAGAAGACTTACCACGTATTTTCTATTGGGGTTGTCACTGCTACAGTGTGTTCGTTGTCTACCACAAGAAATCAAAATAGGTAAGTCGTATATTGCTGAATCGGAGGTAATCGTTTAACGAGAGCGTGTGATATCTAATTAAAACACAAATGAAACTATCGTATATGAATAATTTGGTACAGTGTGTATTAGGCTTAATTGTATAATAAACAAATCAATATGATACATCGCTCTGTAATGAAAACCTATATATTTTAATTAAAGGTGTGTACGATGTTCCGATTACACTGGCAATGCTCAAATGAACGTAAGTGGAAGTGATATCTTCGATATGTATACCAGTGATAAATTTTCTTATATTAAGTCATCGGCACACATCAAGAAGTTGCATTTATTCATTACAGCCTTTTTAGATGAGACTTTTATTGGAATCAAGCCCAGGTCTATTGCGTTTGTGTACAGCTTATAAATCGCAGGTCAGAGATATGCCATGGGGATTTCCATACCGAGACGCATGTTCAATTTTGTGGCACAAACGCTATTATTATGAAACGAAACGTTTAAAGCTCGATCCGCTCAGCCGTGTCATGAGCCCAAGCATTACACCGAGTCCTAAATACCACAGGGCAATACTAGAACCATGCAATTGTCATTTCCGATGTTTCATAACATTATTCTGTTGGTTCATAGTGTCATAATAGGCCCCTGCTATCAGTCGCTGATCTGGTATGGAGCCCCATGTCTCAATTATATCATGAAGAGTGTTCACCAGCAGGCTGGGATGGCGGATAACACGCTTTAGAACTCTCAGTGGTATTCAACACTTCCAAATAGTTTTCGTTTTAATTTTTGTAGAAATGATTGACTCATGAATAGTTTATGACTTTGGGTTTTCATGAATATTTCATTTATGCCAGTTTTGTGTATCTTGTGTATGTCATGTAATGTTATTCATAACAATGCCATTACTTGAGTGCATGTATATGTCAATGCATAATCTGGTCAACGTTACTTTGTACGGAAAGATGGTTTTGAAAATTGAGTTACAATAATGTAATTTTGATTGTGCATTCTACGTTGTGTTACACTGTAATACTACAGCCACGCATCTGCATGTTTCATACATTATTATCCAGTCACACATACGTCACATTAGTAATACAATGTTGTCTCCTGAATTGGTTTAAATATATCAACGTCGACAGATGTTGAAGTTGATGTGGAAATAATATTCCCTGATGAACGCCAACGATAAAAATAATATTATTCCTTGACTGAGAAATCTCTGAGGAAACTCTATCTGTTTTTGAGTTTAAAGCTATCGGTTTTCTAAAGAAACACGGCAAAGGTACAGAGGTGATATGTGTCTTTCCAGATGCGTGGGGGAAGCAATAGTTTTATCCTTCGAGGCACTGTCAGTGCATGGTTTGTTGGCCGAACAAATGCTCAAATGCTTTTCCTGAAAATAATGGATCGGTATGAAAAACTAATGAAATATTGATTGTTCCAATCAGAAGGAATTGAAAATGACGTGGGAGAAGGGAAACGTGTGAATGTCAATGTTATAGACTATGCAGGCGAGCACTGGCGGAGAAAGGTCAAGTTTGGGCATCTCTTGCAGTATGATGTAGTCATGAACGACTTAGAATATTTCACGGCGCTTACATGCATGACGATTGTTATGTATATGACCGTAAGCGGGGGAGTATGCATAATGCATAACCATATGCTCCAAATGCATGCTTGCTTTCATCGTTATGCCGAACCTAATGAAACATAAACAGATAACATAATATGATTTCGTTTTAAGATTATAGATAACAAGTGTGGACTTGTATTACTCATCAATTGAGTTTCATAGTGTTTATAACTTAATTAAAGCGTATTATAGGATGTTGAAACTCGATATGTCATTGTATGATGCTGAAACTCGATATGTCATTGTATGATGCTGAAACTCGATATGTCATTGCATGATGCTGAAACTCGATATGTCATTGTATGATGCTGAAACTCGATATGTCATTGTATGATGGTGAAACGATGTATTATGTTTCAGTTTATCGACATGATAACATATTGTCATAACATCATTCATAATGAAGTAGGTGAGGTAGCCAAGTTGTTAATGAGTTCGCTCGTCACGCCGAAGACCCGGGTTCGAATCCCGACATGGGTGCAATGTGTGAAGCCCATTTCTGGTGTCCCCCGCCGTGATATTGCTGGAATATTGCTAAAAGCGGCGTAAAACCATACTCACTCACTCGATCACTACATGGGTACAATTACTCACTCACTCGCTCTGCCATATTTTTTTAAATTAAGAGAGAAATAAACTGCATTTCTTCAATCATGTTTCGGCGTAGCGATGTCGTCCTTGGGACATAAGTGCTGACTTATGAATTTGTTAAGTCATTGTTAGTTATAAAAATGTGTATACATATATCGTGTCGCACCTTAATGAACAGAGATACCACCACAACAATGATATTGTTCTAGCATCACACAGTGTCTTCTTTTCGTCACTCAAGCTGAAAAAACCCCCAGAAAATGCATGACAAGTGTTTTTAAATGACTTTTGAATAAAGGTATATTATGCTAGGATTAGCATATTCTAAATTAAATTAATGAATTCAAGTTGAAAACTATTTTTATGTAGCCTGTAAGTTACAGAATATTGAAACTAAGCTCACTAATTGATGAGAATAGTGTTATAAGGTTAACATTTTTCTATGATATTAGCCAAATATAGGCACGGAATTTAGCAATTAGGTTAATTTTTTATTAAATAGTGTCATTAGGGTAACATTTATTTGTAATGGTAACACTGTAATTGCGATCAGTTTAGCCAAATAATGACACGAAAAATAGCAATTAAGTTATTTATTTATGAAATATTGTTACAAGGGTAACATTTGTTTACATTGGTAACACACTAATGCGATCAGTTTAGCTAAATAATGACACAATGCCAAATTTGTTGTTCCACGAGATCCATTAGGGATGCTGTAACGACATTTGTTATAATAGGCCAGGGTTATAGCGGAGTGATCGATCAGCCAAAACAGCATGTGATATACCCCCAAGCTAAGTTTGCGAAAGACACAAGTGCCGAGTTTTTTAAATAACTCATATTAGTCTTAAGTTGAATATTGCTGATTGAATGTTTGAGGCGGCCATCTGTTTTTCGTCAGCTAACTGTAGCCGATCTGGACTTCGCAGGGGGTCGCAGTGGCGCTGAAAACAGTTGATTCATCCTGGGGCCTAAACGCAATTGGGCGATAAATCTTCAAAATCCTGCGATCGATGTCTATTCATCACCTCCGAGACTAAAGTCATTCTCATCTCCCAGTTCTTTGCATATTTGCTTGCTCAAAATATATGAGACTTGATTTCCTTTAAGAATGCTCACATGTAAAAGTACGCAGTATATTTTATGTGGTGACAACTGGCCGTTAGTGTTAATTTTACGTCACATCTGTTCCAACTCAAACATAACATTCAAAATTGGAAACACGATTTTAACAATGTCTTTGTTGGGTAAAATAGCGTTTTATGACGTAAATCAATATTAATGACAAAAAAACATCATGTATTATAGCTAAAAAGCAATCTTAAATTGCGAATCTACAGTTGTCTCAAAATAGGGTGAAAAAAGAAATTTCCCGCAGGCTTAAAAGCTTTGAACATAGGCCTTTCTTTGACCCTAGGCTCCGTCCATCTGACTACCACAGCTGTGTATTAAGCTGCTGAAAGCCCAAGTGTATTATGGCCATCATGCAAAACACACAGTCAAACATCAGTCTCAAATGGAACATGATAATTACAATCTATTCCGTATTATTTTCAGGCTTTAAATTAAGGAAATATGAATTCACACATGATGTATTGATTCCTAACTTTATAATATCACAATTGTTGTTGTATCTTTTCTCTGGCGCAAGTATATGAATATGTATCGATATATCCGTAAATGTTTACTCTACTGGACTATTGAATATACCACTTACAATATCACTATGACAATAACATGTTACTGTAACAATAACATACCGACGATTTTGAGATCGATTTACTTCCAAATTATGTGTGCGTAAATTCATCATTTTAAACGGTTTTTGTTTGACGATTCGAAGAAGTCTTTTAATCTGCTTTACGTACGAAATGGCAGAAGAAACATGTATCATATATGCTGAATGATGTATTATAAATCTGTGCTTGTCATTTGTCATTTCATTAAGAAAACACTTCAAATATAGTGATTATCAAGGTGTGCACGTAACAGTCAAGTCAGGCACGTTTTCAACGCTTGATCAATCGGATGGCGATAACAGACACTGTGTTATCGAATTTTTAATACTACAGTACAGAATGCATGTACTACCATCTGCAACACCGCTTTTTAACTTCAATGATGAATACGTACTTGACATTTTCCTGCTAATACCTAAATTTAGCCCGTGTACACAAATTACGTTCATATCTATTCTACGATTAAGGCGTATCTTCATCTACGATCGATCGGTAAGTAATTCCTGTGCTCGCGTAATCCGTTTCCTGTAAACATCAATAACGGACCTCACTATCTTCAATCTATAAATGAATACCTTCACATTATCGAAATATGTATACACTTGCCATGAATTCGCACTGGAATATGTTATATGAATGCTCGTACGTATATTTAAATTAACACGTACCTAACATATCTAAATATTACACCGTGGATTATATATGCGTCACATACGTAACTAAATTTCTTTCTTGAAACCACTTACGATTACGTAGCGGCGTCAGTGAATATTTACCTGGGTGTGAGACTAAATAAACTATCTGAGTATTGCCAGTACACATGCTCCAGGCTAGCTTCAGTGAATAAATATCAAAATAGTTTAAGTGAATACGTGTTAGAATATGTTCCGTGAATATGAATCTGATTATCTTCAGTGAATACGTGTTAGAATATGTTCCGTGAATATGAAACTGATTATCTTCAGTGAATACGTGTTAGAATATGTTCCGTGAATATGAATCTGATTATCTTCAGGGAATACGTGTAGAATATGTTCCGTGAATATGA